TCACAACAAAATTGTTAATAAAATCTTTTCATAAGTAAAGTAAATAAATTAATGTAATTTGTTACTTGCTCATTTTTTTTAAGTAAAAAATTATTTGTAGTTGTGAAGCTGCAACTAGAAATTTAAGAAATAATAATTTAAAAATTCAAATATTTAACATATTTTGATTCATTTATGCAAAAATCAAGAAAAAAAAGTTTAATATCAAACATTTTAAAAAATGTAATATTAAACTTAATTATTTAATATTGAAAAATAAATAAAAGAAAATAAACATTCCTTTATAGTAATAATAAAAAAGAAGTTAAATAACATTTAACTTGTTTTGCAGTAATTAATATAGCAGTAATTTAAAAAAGTTAGTCTTTTAAAAATAAAAAAATAAAGAGAACTTTATGATATTAAATTCATATTAGGCTATTTTGCTAAGCATTTTCTATTTAAAACAAGGCCTGATGTTGTAGTCATACTCTAAGGTAATATCATTGAATGACACACATTTTTAATGTATATAAACTGTATAGGATATTTTCTATTGGTTGATAAATATGCAAGCACCAACGCATTGCATGATTGCCTATACATTATATCATGCTCTAAGGGGAGGGAGGGGTATTGATTAGTGGTTTTGTAACAACTCACACGGGACTTGTTACCAAAGTGTTACAATTTTATGTTGAAGAGGAGGAGTTCCATCAAAAACTGTGTGACACAATTATGAACACATTTTGCATTTATAAGTATTTATTTATAATAATTATTACAGATCAGATCTTTTTGATCAACTAAAGTAAACTGGGGTAAGAGCAAACAATTTAGCTTTAAATTCAATTATTTTTTTAAAAAAAAAATATTTTTTGTTTTTTATTTTGTTTGTTTTATAATTTTAAAAAAAATTTGAGTCAATTGTATTTTTTGGATAAACACAATCGACAAACCCAAGACTTGCAACTAAAAGCTTCACTTTGGTACCACATTTTGTATTGAGTTGGCAATACTTCTTTATAAACTCTGACACTTTTTGCACCTTTTAATGTCTTTGTATTGTGTTGGTTTTTTTGGATGTTGCTCTTGCTGAGTTTCATCTGAAGCTTCACTTAGTGAATCTTGCATTTTTTTAATTACTTTGAGTCTTTGGCCTCATTGTCTCGCTTTAGTTTCTCGAGCACCTCAGATGTACTTAGACACCGGCCTTCAACTCTCAGAATGTCTACTCTTTTGGGGTTTTTTTGTGTGTGTTGTATAACATTTTTCAAATTGCCTTTGAGTCATTCTGTGAAATGTTGCAACATCTGATACATTTGTTAAATTTTGAAGTTGGTGAATCTTTGGAGTTTGATGCTGACTGATGTTAGGTGATGATATAGGCTGGGATGAGGATGATAAAGCAGGCTAAGATGAAGATGATGAAGCAGGCTAAGATGAAGATGATGAAGCAGGCTCAGATGAAAATGATGAAGAAGGCTTGGATGAAAATGATGAAGCAGGCTCGGATGAAAATGATGAAGCAGACTGAGATGGTCTTTGAAATGTTTGAGCAATTTGTAATTTTGATTGATCAATTTTGCTAATACCAAGTGGGAACAAACCAGTGTTTTGAAATCCAATGATTATTTGTGTTTGTGTAAATGTATCACTGGAGCTAAACATCACCGGTTCAACATTGAAGTAACATATGTGAAGCGTCCATCCAAGACTTAAATCTGAATACATGTAATTAAAAAATTTGATTAGTTGATTAATTGATTTAACTACTCAATTTAAGAAGACTAAACTAATTAACTTGAATTAATTTGATTGTCGGTATGAATACTTTAGTGAGCCAATAAATAAATTATTTTTCTTCTCTCCAACCTGATTTGGATGTTGTAAATACAGTGTTTGGTGGTCCCCCTACACATCAGTCTTTGTATAGACGTGATATTGACCTGTAAACTACAAATGGTGGCATAATGGTAACAGTAACATTGACAAAATTAACAACTCAGCCTTAGTCGGGAAGCGGGTGCAATCGCACTCGATAATTGACCATGGAAATAATATTTAGTTGCATAAAACTGGCCAGATTTTCTAGTCGTTTTGAGAATATTTCAAAAACAAACAAAAAAACGCAATAAGATTAACTGGACTGATGAGAGACAGTTAAAAGCTTTTAATGCAAAAAAACTTTAAGCAAAATAAATACGATTAGAGCAAATTTTTTTGAAACGTCGCTCTTTTAAAAAATTTTTTTTAATTAAGCGACATTTTTTATGTAAAGTAACAATTTACTATTAATGATTGTTTAATAAGGAAACAAATGTTCTTCAATTTACCAAAGAGTATATATAATTTTTATTTATATACTTGTCTTATTTCCAGTGCTGGATTAAGAAGTGGGAGGGTAGAAGGGCTATAGCCCAAAGACTCACAATGTTAGGGGCCTCAAATTGTCAAGAGGGGCATTCTGTATTTTTTTTAGTCATTTTTACCCTGTGGCACATAAAAAAGACCATTAAAATAATGTAGCCCCTGGCCCTGAAAAGTCCAACAAGATTCAACCAATAAAACTAACGCTAGATGATTTATTTATAAATAAAAAAGTTTTTTTAATAACTGTTTTATGCTTCGCGTAGTTTGAAAAGTTTAACACATTTGAAACAATTTTTCTTAGTAAGATAAACAAATGAAATAATTAAATCATTGAGTTACTGTAGAAATTCAATTAGCTAGATAGAAATTAACTAAAAACATTAAATTACTTTGTAAGGAGGAAGCGTAACTGTTTCACAATACCGCTGATGATGTTTAGTGAGTGGGCTTTATAATTTTAATTAGTATTTAAAACGGAAAAAAGTAACTTTAAATTTAAGTATAATTAGTTTACAAGAATGGCTGAAGCTAAAATAATTGAAGTTAATATCCCAATTTCTAAGAACTTTAAAACTTTTCTTTCTTGGGGGAAAGAATCAGTTATTGGGTACCCTGAGGAAAATGGATTAGTGGTTAAATTTATTTGTATTAACTTTGATGATTAATAATAATTTTATTAAAAACACAGTTATTATTGAAAGTATTTTTGTTTACAAAAACAATCGCACATATTGCTTTAAAAGATTAAATTTGAATAAAACACACATACATAAAATTACATACATAAAAACACATTACATACATAAAAAATACATTCCTTATATATAAAAAATAATAATATAATAATAAGATCTATAATAAAATATTTACAAAACGTTGACAAGTTAAGAAAAATAATTTCAAAACATTTATTTTTGTAAATAAATAATGTTAGTTTATAACATTTATAGCTTTGTAGATGTGGCTCTGAGAATGACCCATAGTATTAAAATAATATTTCGTTTGATAGTATATTCTTAAAACAAAATCTTAACGAAAAAATAACAAAACTCACTTAATACAATTTTTTTAAATACAAACAGAATACTCTGAACATTTAGTGATTATTTTTTGAATATTCTAGAAATTGCGGCTAGTGTTTTTTGAACCAATAGAATTAGTTCTCCATAGATTTGGCAAGTTTTTTGTGTTTGCGAATATTCTTTTTTTATTTTTCTGCACAAAGATGTTTAAGAACATTCAAGTTTATGTATGCTTCTATGTAAGTCCGTAAAACAAAATATTTTAAAATTTACGATAAAATAATGGTCAATAGTTTTTTCCAATGAGCAAATCCAGGTTTCACGTTTTTTATAAAATCAAGACCCGAATTATTTAAATTATTGTAACCGTTTATACTCATTTTCTTATAATAATTTGCGATAGATAAATAATTATTATGTATAATATAGTATATCAAATAGTTATTTTTAATATATTATATCAAAATTTGTTAACTTATCACTATTAAAAACAAATTCGATATTCAAGCACTTATATTCGGGTCAGGATTTTATTAAAAACGCGAAACCTGGATTTGCACATTGGAAAAAAACTTAATTATTATTTTGCGGAAAAACAAAGAAACAAACATGAACTTAAATGTTCTCAAAACGACTAAAAAATCTGGCCGGCTTTTCGCAACTAAATATTATTTCTGTGGTCAGTTATCGAGTGTGATCGCACCCGCTTCCCGACCAAGCTTGACGACTGTATAAATAATTTTTTCATTGTTACTAACCACTTTTTAAGGGCATTTAGCACTGAGCCTGCAAATTATATGATGCTTATCTTGATCGCCTGAAAATCCAATTTCGTCAAAATTCCACAAATTGCACAAAGTGTTGTTGATATTTGCTTCAAGAAATTTGAAATTTGTGTATTGAAATAACTTGTTATTTTGACTTCGGTACAAGAGAAAGAAATATTTCCTGTTACTCTGAGAGACTAAATATTTCCTGCTACTCTGACGCTTAATATATGACTCCATTATTTTGTGAAACCTTGATACCATTCTTGTCCTTGTATACCACTTGGAGGAAACAGATGACTTCTATTTGTAGATACTAAATATCCCCCAACTATTACGATGACATCTGTCACATGTTTGTGAAGAGCTACCTTTGGTATGTTGTATAGCTCTGCAGCTTTACTGAGTGGTATTTCCCTTTTTTTTGATTTGTTTTACTGCGAGTTGCAATTGATCTTCACTTCAAGTTGTTTGTGTTTTACGAATGTAAGTAAGAGTCATTTTGTTATAAAAATTTTTAGATAGATAGCAAAGGCTGCCATATTTATTTACATTTTAAAAAATTATCAACTATTAATTAGTTTAGCCACGCTCATCTTAATGCGTTAGTGTGAGCAATTAGCATGTTTACTGTTCCCCGAAAAACATTTATACCAGTTTTTTGCTCATAACTCTTACCCCAGATATATAATAAAAACATTAAAAAAATATATAATAAAAATTATAAAATATAATAAAAACATTAAAAAATAATATATATATATATATATATATATATATATATATATATATATATATATATATATATATATATATATATAATAAAATATAATAAAAACATTAAAAAAATCATGCTTACCCTGTAGTAAACTGCAACATGGCCTAAAACAAAATTATCATTAATAACTTTAATGAAAAAAATATAAAGATTTAAAAACAAAAAAAAGGAGGACACAGAACAGCAGATATTTGTTTTTAAAAAATAATTTAAAATATAAAATTCTCTATGAAAATGTTACAACTAATAGTTTATATTAAAGATTTTCATTTTAAAAACTTTCTGCGCAAAATGGTTTGAAGTAAATTAAATAATTGTACAAAACATAAATTCTTATAACATTTTTTAGCTTAAAAAATTTTCATTAAAATATTATTGGAACAAGTAAAACTAATTTAAAAACAAAAAACTACAGTGAACTATCTTTTAATGATAAATCTTTTATTGATTGAAATATATTATTACTGAAATAAATAAAAACAGCTTGAAAGAAAATTATTACACTATATTTTATTTTAAATGATAAAACAGAATTATCGTTAAATAAAAATGTCAAAATTTCAGCTATTGGATCTGCATAACTTCATTAATTCTTGGAGAAAATCTGATATATTTCCCCAAGAAGAACTCTGAAAAAAAAAATCTTTGATATTATATTAAATACGGGCTATTCTAGACCATTTTTGACAGCGTCGACCTTATTTGGGCGCCAATTTGGGCACCGCCCAAATAAAAATTTAAGGACCATTTTTTTAACGGTTTTTTTTTTTTTTTTACATATTTAAGGCAAATATTGTTTTTTTCCCAAAAATAACGCAGATTTTCCGCTCTCTGTCAAAACAAGGGGGTACCGCTGCCCAAATTTTTTTCCTAGAATAGGCCCTGTATATATATATATATCAAACCTTTTCAGAAAATGTAGTATTTTGTCTTCTATGGCCACCCATGATTATTTTAATTTAAACAACTTGGTCACATTTTTAAATACAAAGAAAGCAGAGCTTACAAAATAGGAAATTAAAATAATATTTATTCTATTTAAATAAATACAAAAAATAAAAAAATATATAATAATTTAAATAACTTGCGTACTGTTTTTATTTTTGTTTCTTCAGAGTGGTTGTTATTTAAAATATAGGAAATTCATTCTTTTTAATGTCCACTTAAAACTGTTAAGTTGACATTAATAAGAATGAATTTCCTATACTTTATTTGTTTTTTTTTAAAAGGAAAGCAAAAATTTAAATTGCTATCTGTTTGTAAAAAATATTTGCATAATTTTAATATAACTAGTATATATTGTCTCTATATGAAAACATCTATGAAATGCATGTGTATACTTTTATGTATAACATTTTTTATTATATAATTATATTTATTTGAAAGTAAGTATGAAGTATGAAGTAAGTACCTTATCCAAATAAGCTAAATGTGCCATTTAGCTTATTTGGATAAGGCACTTACTTCATACACAGAATGTCTGTGGTTCGGAATCCACCCCATCTAAAAATTTTTTTTGTTTTTGTACCCTCCCTTTAGGTTTACTATTTTATTGATGATAAATATTTAAATAATTATTAACAATTATTATTTATAATTGCATAATAATTAATAATAATAATAATAATAATAATAATAATAGTTCATTAATAACATTAAAAGGGAGGGGACAGGTAAAAATAAACGCACTGAGCCAAATGTTAAATAGAAACAGGTATCCAAAATTACAAAGCGCTAAAAGATCGGGGATAAAAAGCATACAGGAATAGAAAGATAATATGAAACAGTTAAAGCTATATGAAAGAGGTGTAGATGGACAGGTTTAATTTAAGTTTAAAAAATATGTATATACAACCCTCAGAATTAGGGTCAGCATTCAGCAATGCCGACCTAACTGCCTACCTAAATGTGTTTGCAGTCAGCAAAAAAAATTTGGTTTTGCTGACCTCGAATTTTGACATTAGTAGGACTCAAACCACGGACATTCTGTGTATGAAGTAAACACCTTATCCAAGTAAGTTAAACGTGCGTATACTTATTTTCAAATAAATATAATTACAGGCCTTGTTACGAGATTTCGCTGCGTAACGGAAAGGCTGAACGTGAATAAATGTAACTTTACTCAATTAAGATATTTACATTATTTACGTCAGTTGCGTTTTTACTTCATTGTAATTAAATTTAAAATGACATTAAAAACTATTGTTAGTCTTTGAAACTTTTAAATTTAAATTGTACAATGTTGTTATAAAAAAAAAAAAATTTCAATGTTGGTTACAAAAAAGTCTTCTTGTATTAAAATCTTATACTTATTTAAACTTAATTTTTTTGCTTTTAAACATTCGTTTTATGGTTGTTGTTTTTTTATTGTTTTTTTTAAATAATTTAAATTTAACACTTGTTTATGGTTGATTTTCTTAAAGGGATTTAAATGTACTTATAACTAAACGCATAGATTGGGTTTTCCCTTTTAAAAAAAAACGTTTGTTTTGATAAAATAAATGTTGTAAAGAAACGAAATTTACTGCTTTTTCGGCTTTGTTTTTTTTTATTTCCATTAAACTATTTTATTTTTATGTACAGTGAAACCTAATATTTTTTTTCTCAATCCAAAAAAAAAATAGTGTCTTCGGTTTTCAGATGTTATAAGCAGAATTTGTTTTTAACAAATATCATTATAATTTTGAAATTTATGTATCTTATATTTATAGCTAAAGTACTAGTTTTGTTTTTAAAATAAAATAAAGATAAGTTGGGTTTTTAAAGAGTTTATTTACTGATCACGTTATTTTTAATAGGTTTGTATTTTAGTTTGTTCAAGGACATATTGTTAATACGTCCTTGGTTTGTTTTATATAAAAAAAATTTTGGCAAACGGCAAAAGGAAAACCCAAACATAACATTTATAACTCGAGTTTAAAAGTATTGACGTCATTTATTAACTTGTAGTTATAAAATGAATAATGCGCTTCTGTAAATAATGAATGAAACAGTAAAATAATGGAAAAATAAAAACTGGAAAATAATGCGCTTTTGTAAGCGCATCTTTCAGACCAGTATTTGGAACTTACCTGAAACTTAACTAAAATTAAAATAAAGTTATATGTAATACGAACATTTTAAAGTAACTTGAATTAAATTTATCAAATCTTTTTTTACTTTGGTAATTTTATAAAAAAAATGGAGCATTTTAAAATTAAAAAATTTTTAAATGCTCTGTTTTAAAATTAAATGAAAGAATTTTAATTAAATTTAATAAATTTATTTACTAAAAACTATAATTATTAAAAAAAATATTTAAATTTAATAAAATAAATTGAAAATATTTCTTTTTTTAAATTTGATTGTTTATAAACTTATGAAATCTAATATTTAAAATTAAATATGATGAAAAGTTTAAACTTAAAACACTTTATTTTCTTTAAGTAATTTTTAAAAACAAAAAAAAATTATTAAACAAATTGTTTCTTTAACAAAAAATCTATTAGTTTACAATTGCGGTTAAATGCTTTTACTTACGACTTTAATACTTCTGAATGAACGTCACATAAACGATATAAAAAGATAATTTAAATATTTTTAAAGATAAAGTTTTTGCGTAACGCATAACTGCTGAACGCGTAGGCAAATCGCCTTTTCGCAGGCAAAATGCGAGCTGCGTAACGCTTCTTAGCAAGGCCTGTAATTATATAATAAAGAAAAGTTATACATAAAAGTATACGCATGCATTTCATAGACATTTTCATATAGAGACAATATGTACATAGTATTACACTAAAATTATACAAATATATTTTACAAACAGTTAGCAATTTATATTTTCGCCTTCCTCTTTAAATAAAAAAAAAACAAATAAAGTATAGCAAAATCATTCTTTTTAATGTTGACTTAAAATCTGTAGTTTTTTTGTTTTTTTTTGCTTTGTCTTTTCAAATTTTGTTGTTGAAAATAACAACCACCCTAAAGAAATAAAAACAGTACAGAAATTATTTAAGCATTTTCGCGATTTGTTATATTTTTTATTTATTTATTTTTTGTTAATTTTTTTTCTTTACTAATTTAGCATTTTTTTTAGTCATTCTTAAAAGTAATGGTTTTGTCTAGGATTTTTATTAGGAGCTATAAAATACGTCACACTCAATTTATCTTTTGAATAGAAGTATAATCTTTTCTCTCTTGCACTGAGATTTTTATTTAAGATAAAGCGCTTTTGAATTTAAATTACTTTAAAGCTCTGAGTAGAGACCAATATTATCTTAAAGTTATATTTAATTTGATATACTGAATGGATAAAGTACTCAACTATCAAATTTACTTAATGTGCTCAGAGACTTGCAAAAATTAGCCATGTAAATTAAAAAATATTTACATAGCTAATTTTTGCAAGTAAAAAATATTTACATAGCTAATTTTTGCAAGTCTCATATGTTATGATAAAAAATAATAAAACATAATATATGTTATGATAAAAAATATAAAACATAATATAAGCTTCTAACTAAAAATTATTTCTACAAGAAACCTCAAATAGAATTTAAAAAGCGATACCATTTTTAAATATATTATATAAAGCGATATCAAGATCAAACATTTTCTATTGATGTGCAAGTTGTTTTTAGGAATTTTATTTGAAGAGGAATCTATCTGAGCAAAATAATTTTAGTCTTCTAAAATTCTCTGATTCAAATAATTTTGCAATTAAAACTTGAAATTGAATAAAAATTGGAAAAATTTAAAAGGATTTTAGCGCTCAATAATTATAAATTTAAATTAGCGGCATCCGTAATACCTAGGATAGCAAAAATTGTTGTTGAAAGTTATATCTAACTACAGTAACAATATTAGATTTACAACATAGTGCAAGTGAGGAAGAAAGTTTTATTTAAATCATTAACGTTTTGAATAGTTAATATTTTGCTTCTTGACAATAATTTTAAAAGTAATAACACTCCATTGCAAAATTTAAACCAGTCATTGCAAAAGTTGAAATAAAATTAATTATAAAAACTATGCTTAAATTTTTAATAGTATGCTAGGTCAAGAAACATTAAATCATAAAAAACGTGGTATCTAATATTTTTTTGCTTTGATCTTAGGGATAGTACAAAAATTATATAACCTTAAATTTCACAACAAAAAAGATAAAGTTTTCTCTTGCAAAGCTTTAGGTTAAATACAAAATCAAAATAGCGCATTAAGTATAATAAAAATCGCCGCCTATAAGAACTTAAGATCTCCTACTTCTGTTTTTAAAATAAATTTAGTGTTGCATAATTTATGGACAATCCCTTACTCGTTTGGTCTATAGATTATAGACTCATATGGTCAATAAGCATATTTTTGCGCAAATATAAAGTTTAAAGTTTTATGACAAGTACGTTTTAATTTATTAATTATAACGATTTATTTACTTCATTTTGTTTTAAATATGTTTTATGTTATTAAGGTTATAAACTGTATAAAACAGCAATAAAACAGTGTCACAGAACTGTTTTACATTAACACAAGCTCTTATATTGTTAAAAAAACTTTGCAGTTTGTTTTATTGTTGTTTTATAGCTTTTTACAATAACAATTAAATACTCTTTAAAAATAACACACGTTTTATGCTCAGCATGAACGTATTAAATAACTTGCTACAACTTATTAAAGTGGTTAAAATACTGTAATATTTATGTTTTTACTCACTTTGTTTTTACTCACTTTGTTTTTACTCTTACCTTTTTACTTTTACTTTGAGTTTTTTAAAGTATCATATTAAGTAATAATAAAATAACAATTACAAACTAATGTACAAAAGATACAACTTTATACTAACGCAAACAACCCCGCCCCCAGATGAGATTTTCAATTTAATCATTTGAGATGAGATTTTCAATTTAATCATTTCAAATTTGAAAATACATTTTTAGAAAAAAATTTGTTTTAGGTAACATAAGTAATTGTTATAGTAGCATTTCACAAAACTATTTCTTTTAGCATTAAATATAAAGTTTAAATTTTTGTAATATTTTATAAATATTGTTTTAAATATTAAAAAAATATATTCAAGAGATTCATAGTTTTTCTATTTTTCTTTTTGCACTTCTTTATAATTTAGTTTCATTTAAATGTCTTTCTTCCGCTGCTCGAAGATTAATCTTTTACTAGATTATTATTACTTTTTATTATTTCTAACTTTTTTTGTATCTGTTTTCTCAATTCTTTATTGTACAAAATTGTTTCAGAGACACAAAAAAATTGTTAACTTGGATAAGTTTATTTAAAGCAAGATGGCATTTTTCTTCAACAATTAATTCAATTAGTTTCATTGCATGATCTGGAGATGAAGAAAAGCAGAAGTAACACCTATTTTCAAAAAAGGAAATAAGTTAAAGGCAAGTAACTACCAGCCAGTTTCCGAAACCTAGGTACCTTGTAAGGTATTAGAACATTTAATCTACAATTGCATTATGCAAGTGTGGATTAAACCTTGTAAAAATTGTAGAATGCAATTTATGGGGTTTTAGTATCTAATAATCTTAAAGTGAAGTTACAAGCTGAGCACGCAGCTGCAGCTGCAAATAGAATACTAGAGAAATTTAAAAAATTTTAAAAGTTGTGGCTTAACTCTTTGGCATTTCCTATATACTACTTATATCCAACTATTATTATAATTTGCCATCCCAGAGTGGTCTCCTCATTTCAAAAAATTCAACACCGAACTGCAAAATGGATTAAGTAATTAAGTCACCTAAAATACAAGGATTGTTTAACACGGCTTAATTTGATTATCCTTGATAAACAACGTATGCGTATGGACCTTATACAGCATTATAAAATAATTAATGAAATTGATTTAATCAATTTTATGGCGCCACAAACCACAACAGCATATCCAAGATCTAAGTATAGTTTAAGAATAAAGAGCCATGCCTTTGAACTAGCCATCAAAAAAAAATTTGAAACATCATGAAAGACGTAATTTTTTCACTAATTGAGTTGTTAAAAAACTGGAATTCCTTATTAACTACCACAGTAAAGGCACCATCACTCAACTGTTTTAAATATAGGCTTTAAAGTACAGTTTATTCACGCTTTTCAATTTGGCTGGCACAGCTGTAATTGCAAATGTTGTCAGAAAAGAGGGTTCTTGTCTGCCTCTCTCCGTCAATAATTAGAATATCTATTTTAGATGAATTCTGACCACGAACTGTTTTTACTGTGCACGATTTCAATAAATCTTTAAATGATAATTATTGATGACTGAATAAATAAATAAAATAAAAAATCTGTACTTCTATATGTTAGTGCTTTAAAATTAAGTCCCTCTATTAATGGTACTGCGCTGTAGAATTTTTCCATTTTTATAATTTTTTCACTGTTAAAATACTGTATTGGAGCTCTTTCCAATGATATATTCCAATCTGGTAATTAATTAATTTAAAAATTTCATGTGACTACCTAATAGATAGATAGATTATATATAAAGAATCATAGTAATGGAATGCAAAAAAAAAAAGTAAAACTATTCAATAAGACTTGATGCATAGAAGTTTTCTGAAGAAGGTTTCTGAAGAAGGTTTCTGAAGCTATACACAACAAGGTGAGCAGAAGATATTAGGTGAAATACTGTATTGAACAATAATTTTTTCTTTTGTATTTCTTCAATATTTATAAATTTTTTCATTAGTTTTATTTTTAAAACCATTTACAAATACTTTTAGACCGATTTTTTCTGAATTTTATTAAAAAATTTTACTATACTTTTAAAACACTATTACCAATATATAAAAATATAACATATAACAAGTTAAAGCACAATATAGATATACAAATATTGATTTATCTATTTATTTTGAATAAATGTTTATTCGTGTTTTGCTATTTACTGTTAAGTTATTTTTAAATACTATAATAATAATAATCTCAATAAGTATTTTAACGAGAAAACAAACAATTAAATACCTTCTTCGACTTTGTGAATCGAAAAATTTGCAATCAATGCTAAAATTGCTACAATAAAAGCTAACGCTCCAACATTGACATCGGCCATTTTGCAATTTTTTTATAAACTAAGCCAATTAAAAGTGAGCTAAAGGTTAAATTTATCAATTAGAAGATCTGAAATTTTTTACATTACTAAAATTAAACTTCCGATAAAAATGTATTCGAGCAAACGATCAGTCTATCTTTTGTTTCCACAAACTAAACTTAATCAGTCAAATTAAAGTCCAGCTAAGCTACAGTGACCATTGTCCCGGTTTTTAGGTAGGAGAGCGCAGCACCAAACGTAAAAAACAGGACCACGGACACCGTAAGCTTTATGCTTCTTTTTTATTTATTTATTTATTTATTTATTTCGTCATATATAGGCATTTTACAATGTTCTCGTTTCCAAGTTTAATAAAATAAATCAAAATATAAAGAATGACAGGAGCAAGTAGAAGACATAAGTCTTGTCGTCAAGCCCCTACAATTTGCGTGATATATTTTTTACTAAGTATTCATAATATATAAAATATAATAAATTATATTCACTATATAAAGCAAGTAACAAAATAACATTAATAAAATAAAATTTGCTAAATTAAATAAAGTAAAGAAATTTAAAAGATTAGCTTTACAAGTTTTTTCAACAAAAAAATAAATAATCATTTTATATAGCAAGTTTAAAATAGCTATAAAAACAAAGCAAGAAAAACAAATAAGTAACGTAAAAAAAAAATGATATTTTAAAACTAAAAATATAAAAGTATGTTTGTATCTGTTAAGTCGAGCAAATTCTGTTTAACTACATTTTTAAAAGATTGTATTGAGGTTATACTTTTCATTTTGTCGTCAAGAATTCTGTTCCATAGTCGAGGTCCTCTATATCCCAGCAAGCACATCAACGTTGAAATAACGTTGAAAAAAAGTTGAAATTTTAGGTTGAAAAACGGTTGATTTTTAGTTAAAATGGAAACACAAATCTACGTTGAAAACAAACGTTAGATCAACGTTGAAAACAAACCATAAATCAACGTTAGATTAACGTTGATTTAGCGTTGATTCAACCAACTTATATTCTACTTTATGAACCTTAAAAAAATAGCTGCTTTTTGTACCGTGACTAATTTAACCCGCAAAACATTTATTTTTTGTGCAATATAGTGTTGTTGTGAGTAGTCAACTCGCAATAACACCAATGCATTGTCCTGATAATAAATAGCATGTGTGAAGAATCATTACATGTGCTCATACCAAAGCCCAATACATCAATCATACCAAAGCCCATACCATACCAATAACATACCCATAGCCCATACCATACCAATATTGTGCAAGCGCAGAAAACTAAACTATAAATAAAACCACTACGATAACTAAGACATTTTTAAAACAAAATATGATACAAAATTGAAATTATTTTTAAAACGATCTTGATAAAATATCGTCGTTTTCTTCATCGCAAATATAAGCATCGGCATCTTTATAAACTTCTGTTTCATTTTGATTTGATGCCCGTTTCCCACCGTCCAATCGATATGGTGCAAACTTCAAACAATCTGCAATATATGTTCGAGCATCGTGTTTTTTTATTTTAAAAGACCGGGTAACTGCATCTAAATAAAAACATCTTTAAAGTAAGATTTTGTAATTTACGAGCATTAATTTACTTCACATAGTTCATATATCTGACTGTATATTATAACCGGTACACCGATTATTTATATATATATATATATATATATATATATATATATATATATATATATATATATATATATATATATATATATATATATATATATATATATATATATATATATATATATATATATATATATATATATATATATATATATATATATATATATATATATATATATATATATATATATATATATATATATATATATATATAGGTGGGAGCAGCGGAAAGACATATAATATACATACCAATAACACCTCTATAAATATTTAAAGTTTGAAAACCAATCTTTTTTGTTTGTTTTGTATTAGATTCAGTCAAATTAAACTTTGCTTGCAGTTTATTTGCCATTAACCTGTAAAGAAATAACAAATAATTTAAAAAAAATTACATTAAAAATATCTCAAACTAAAAATAAACTAAATTAATGAAATCATCGCAAAATTATGCAATAAACAACAATGGATATCTTAATTAGGATCTGAAAAATTAGACAACTTAGTGGTTAGAGTTAATAGAATAACCAATCTAGACTAGTCAATATACATGTGATTTGATACTGAACAGGTATATTGAAACATACCTGTTTAAAACATTTGCTACACATTTCTTTGCACTGCTTCCACCAAGTCTAGAAAGTTCTTTCACCTGTAATTGAAAAGTAATTTTACAAGTTACAAAATATATTGTACACTTTAGAACTACTTTAAATGCTTTCTTAAAGGTTTCTTTTAAATAATTACAAGAAATAAAATTATCATAGTTCAAAATATGGTTTAATTAATAAACACTCTTTTGTAAGTAAAAAAATGTTCGATTGTCCCGCAAGGCTCTTAGGAGGCACTTTTTCAAAATTTTAGTAGCCCTTTAAGAAAATGAGTCATCCTGTATTTTTTTGGTTTGAATATTTCTTATATAAAATTTATAATGAATCACGCAGTCTCATTTTCATACTTGTGTTATATAAATAATTTAAAACAATGAAAACCTTACAAATGCTTTGAACTCTTTAAGATTCGTCAATCCTGCATCAAACGTTATCAAATCTGCAAGCTCGGCAAATGGTTGGGGAAGATGATAAACATCATCTTTACTTTCATTAAAAGTAGAAACTAATCTAAACAGATCATCAAGCCTTGTATCGATATGTTCTAATTTCCGAATTACCATCAATTGAAATGCTAAATTTAAAAAAAAAAGAAAAAAGATTTGTGTAAAAAATAAGTATAAAACACAAATTCCAGCACATCAACACATCAGATTTTTATAAGTTATCAGCAATCTAAATGCGAACAAAAATAAAATTGAAAAGAAAAGACAGAAACTACATTACCTTTATTATCATTGTTGTTTAAAAATAATTCATCACGTATACTTGCAGAGTCTTTCCTTATTGGTAAAATTGATGGGATCACTGAAGACATCAAACAAACATTTTCTGGCGCTATCATTGAATCCATTCTTTGACTATTTTTTGGCATGCTAATTTGTGAACTGCCTGGCAATGAATTAAGTGGTAAACCTAACATAAATAGATGAAAAAAAATGAAATGAACCTAATAATTTTTAAATTCTTTTTTATAAAGCTATTATATAAAAAAAATGACATAAACCTAATAACTTTTAACATTTTTTTATACAGTATAAAGAAAATGTCAGTAAAGAAAATGTAATACTGACACATTTTTTTAACATTTTTTTTATATTTATATTTTCTTTACATTTTGATTTGATATTTATCCTTTTTTTCTTTTTAAGAAACATCTCTTCTTCACTATTTTCATCTTGGTCATCCAAGAACTGTGTAACATCTAAATAATAAAAAAACAATCAAGATTACCAAAGGACTTCTTTACAACATATCATATTTACATTAATATTTTAAAACCTCCACTACTAACATAATAGAGCAAGCACAATATTTATCAAGTGTATACCTAAACTAGATTTTGTTGTTCGCTTTTTCTTAGTAGGAGGAACAGGAAGTGGTAATACAGTTCGTTTTTTATTTGGAGAAATTTGTTTACACTCTAAATTTTACAAAACACACTTTACAAGTATTTTAAAACAAAGTAGAATTTTTACTTTGAAAATAGATTTTTCTAGAACTTTAAGAAATATAAAAACTAAAAAAACAATTCAAAAGTATTGAAGAATCGAACTTCGTTGCTAGTTTTTCATTATTTTATCTTTACAATTAAATACAAACTAAACTAGACTAACATGTCTAGTCAAGCAATCAAAATTTCTTACTTATTATATCCATTACTCCAGCGGTCTCTCCAGCAGTAACATTATCACCATACTCGTCGCATACACCTCTATCATTATCTAAGTATGTTAATAAAGCAATCAAAATTTGATAACTGGGATATACTTTCCTTAAATATGACAAATATAAATAGTTGTATAATATAAATATGAACAAGTACAAATATAAACCATTTGTATTTATTTTAACACAATATTTGAAAATACCTGTAATTTTGACATATTTCAGTTTAAATTTAAGCCAATCATCTGTTGGATCATATCGTTTTTGAACTGCAGATTCCACTTTTCTATTCGGCCAATAAACAAAGCCACTCTTTATCCAATTAGATGGAATTGTATTTTCAAACTCACTGACAACACCTTCTTTAGAATATTCCAACCAAACAGCTCTTGTCCAAGCCATAGTTCAAAAAAGTTTAATTTTAAGATGGATTTTAGCTGATAAAAAATTGAAAAAACCTGTAAAACCTTTTTAAAAAATATTTTAGAAATATTCATTCTGAACTAAAAGAAATATGAATATTTTCAAACCAAAAATACTTATAAATTGTCAGAAAATATTTTTGATACAATATACTTATTGCGATACAATAAAACAAAATAGAGTTTGCACATAATTATACTTTTGTGTGTGTGTGTTGCTCAAAAAAGTTTAAGTCATCATCATCATTAAACTTTTTTGCACATGCTTACGTCATGTGTGAATTGCGGTTTTGAAAACATATTCAAAGAAAAATTATATTAAATTACAAAAACAGTAATAATAACAAATACAAATGAACTACTTAATGTTTTATAAACAGTATCTATAATTTAACATTGTGATGCAGTGGTATAATAACAGTCCCAGTTTTATATGGAATAGCACATGCTTTTTTTCTTATTTTATTTTTTTTAATAACTTTTCTTTGAAACCCACTGTTTGCATGCAGAAGATAAATATCCACAAGTTTTGAGCAACACGGCTTGCTAAAAAATCCATCTAGTCTGGATAACTTGTATACATTGCATTCAATATCATTTTTGTTTAAAACTTTTGTAATGCATATAATTTTTGGCGAATAAAGGAAAAACCAGCTATCTTTATTATTAGACTTAAATTTTTTTATATTCTTCTCGTTTTGATAAGAATTAGTATTTTCGATTTCGGCAATTCTTTTAGTTATTTGCGACAATGGATTTTGAGGTTTACGAATATACTTCTTAAGAGTTCTTAGGTAATTCTCAAAAGGGAAAGCAGACATTTCTTGCAGACTAGAGGAATGATT